TTTGCATCCCCGGGAGCTAGAGACCAAGGACTTCACTGGGGCCGAGACCACGCCCCGTAATAAAGACTGGAACCCAGCTCTCACCTCAGCTCTCACTAAGTGGACTTTTTGCCTGGCGTGTCAACCACGTTTGGACCACAGCGGGAATCATCGGCTATCGGCTGCCCTGGAAACAACTGCTCCGCAATGTGGGGCACAAAAATGCTCCTACTGCCCGTACAACCCCCTCAGCCTGGCCCTTTCGCTTCCATATGCTTCCCAGACTCTAATTCATTTGATCATTTCATTCATTTACCACACAGCAGCACGGGAGATGATCCAATAGCAAGGGAGTTGGGAGTCGTTCCATTGCGCACTCGTTGTGTGCTAAGCACATGGATTGTCATTTAATCCTTGCGTCAACATTCTGAAGTAGATAATATTACCCCCATTCAGGACTGGCTACATAATTTGTGGAGCCCATTGCAAAAAGACAGTGTGGGGCCCTTGTTCAAAACTGGGTTAAGAATATCAAAATGGGGGCAGCAGAGCATTAGACCAAGTGCAAAGTTCTTGGCCCTGCTCTCACTTTATAGGTGAGGAAACTGAGGCTCAGGGAGGTTAAGCGGTATGCTCAAAGTCACAGAGGTAGCACGGAGTGGGGCTGTGATCCAGATTGCCTGGCTCCACAGTCCTGAGCTCTCAGGCTGAGCCCCAGATTTAATTCACAAATATTGACTGACTGCTGTGGATAAAGTGCTGGGCTTGTCTGGGAAGGATTCAAGAATGCTAAGCCCACAGCCTTCAGGAGCTCAGAACTCAGTGGCGCATGCAAGCAGGGTCCAGGAGCCCCAAGATCCTTTGTTTTAGAGTCACCTTAAATCAGGCTCTCACACCTATCCTCTCTTCACCAGGACTGGCAAGAAACTCAGTCTTAGTCATGACCCCTCCTGGGGGGCTTGTGTGGGGTCTGGGAAACAAAAGGAGGATTAGGGCCTGGTCCCTCATCCTGAGGACCACCATGGTCACCCTCACTCCTCTTCTACTCAGTGCTCTCCGACCACTGGACACGGATATGTCTTCAGTGCTCAGGGTCTGGCCCTGCAGGTGGCCTGCTGCCAGCCCCCAACACTTTTGGAGGCACTGGGGGAAAATGCCCTTCCATAGGCCAGAAACACCAAAGTTGGGGAAGGACACAATGCTGCTCTCCTTCTTAAGGTGGGGGTAGGGAAAGGAGCTGCTTTGTGTTTTTGGAGGGAGGCAGTCCTACTGGAGCTATTATAGGCATGGTGGACAAGAGCAGCTCCTTGGGAGTCTGACAGCATTTGAAACTGCTCTAAGGTTTGCACTTAATAATAATAACAATCACTTAGTAATAAGTGGTTATGCTCCCTGACCTTGAGTAAATTACTTAACCTCTCCATGACTGTGCCTCTATTTCCTTACTTGTCAAATGGGAATAAGCATTCCTTCCTTAGGAGGTTGCTATGTGGCTCCTCCCAGGCCTGTGTCCACCCTGTTTAGAGACTAACCATGAAGAATGAACCTGCCATACCCCTAATTCATGGTTTTGCCAGGCAGTACCCCGAGTTCAACCCCCATCTGTCTTCTGCTGCACAAACCTGGGAGGTCTCCATCCTTCTTGATCACTGATCCATGCTTCATCCCTCCCCAACCTGGGTCTTCCTCTTCTAAACTGGCTTTCCTTGAGGACTCCCAAGGGATGCTGTTTTGATTCCCAATAAGAAGAGGTTGGTAGTCTTGCTCCCCACACCTACTTGTGGACCATTTTCCTCCTGGAAGACTACTTCCTCCTTGGAGGCTGGAGACACTGGGTGTCCTGCCTCCTTCTGCCTGGGGCTGTACTCCACCTCATTCTTGCCGGGCTTCGGCCTTGGCTCATACATACTCTTCTCACCCAGATCTTGCTCAATCTTGTGTGACTCCATTACCCAAGGGGGTGGCCTCGCCACTCCCTGACCTCTCAGCTGCTCTGACCCACGGTCACACTTTGGAGCTTGTCATCATCCCAGATTCGCCCACATTTAAGGCAGGTTTCTTGTTCTCTTATTGTAACCTCATTCCTTCCAGGGAGCACGCATACCAGACCCTCTGGACCCAAGCCTTCTGTCACCGCACTCTCCCATCTTCTCAGAGATCTCCTTTCTCCTCCATATCATCAAATGCCTTCTCTCAACCAAATCCTTCCCCTTGATATTTGTCATAATTAGTCTTATACATCTTGAAAGTATCTTTGCATCTTTCCCCTCACATCAAGTGCCCATCCTATCTCTCTATGTCCCTTTATCTCCCGTCCCTCCTCAACTCACTCCAGTCAACTTCTACCATCAGCCTCACCTCCTGGAACATGTCTGACAAGTCCATCAATGGCCTTTAAGTTGCTGAAGCCAGGAGACCTTTTCTGTCCCAACCCAGTTGGCCTCTCTAGAGTCTGATCCTTCCTCCTTGTAACTCTCTGTCCCTTTGCCTCTGGGACAACACCCTCTCCTGGGTTTCCCTTGACCCCCTGTGGCTTTCACAGGTGCACTTCTGAGTCTCCCACCAGACCCTTCTCAGTAGTCCAGAACCCTGTTATCCCCACAGATATGTCTCAAGGACATCTCAAACCAACACGTCCAAAAAAGGACCCCATGATTCCCAACCGGAGCCTCCCCTGGTGCCCGCTCCTCAGCAGATGGCTCCATCATCCAGCACCAGCCCTACTCTGCAAATCACTCCTGACACCTCCCTCTCCCTCACAGCCAATTCTGATGATGTTTTCTCCTCTATTGACCACCTCTTGCCCACCCCCCTCTCTCTATCCCCACCTCTGCCTGTGCAGACCACCCAGAGATCTCTCCTGGGTCCTGCTATGGCCTCCCACCCCTTCTGCTTCCACTCGGTGCCTCTTTCCAGTCCATTCTTCATCAGGAAGCTGGAGGGACCTTTCCAAAATGCAGGGTCACTCCCCTGATTAAGGCCTTTCCACAGCTTTCTTTTGCTCTCATCAGTAACCAAACTCGTGCTCACAGCCCAAGTCCTGGCCCTGCCCTCCTCCTCAACCTCACAACCTCACCTACTACCTCTCTTCCCTGTGCTGTCCTACAGCCATGCTGGTTTCTGCAGTTCCTCAGCTCTGACTCACTGCTGTGCCATAGGGCCTTTGCACATCTCTTCCTCCTGCTTCCCCAGCACTTCCCTCTTGCCCTCTTTAGATTCCTTCCTCTTATTTTTCCAAGGATGCTACACAAATGTGATTTCTTCAGGGAAGCTTCCCTGCTCGTCTCTCCCACCAGGCCAAGTTCCTTGTGACAGCTAATCATGACACTTCTCACCGTGCGTGGTTTGTACATTTATTTGTATGGCTGTCAGATTCGCTTCTGCCTCCCTCATCAGACTAAGCAACACAAGGGCAGGAACCTGGTTTCTCTCTGCCCACTGTTGTACCTCAATATATATTGACTGAATGTAGCAAATGAGACATGTGTGTAAAGTATCTGAAAGGACATAAAGTTGGCACATCGTTATTATTCAGGGAAGGCTTCCTGGAGGTGGTGGGATTTGAGCAGGACCTTGAGCTGGGAGGCAGCACAAAAACGAAGCTCAGCAGCTTGGAGGGCCTGGACAAGCCACGCCTTGTCCTCCCACCTCATTGCTCATTCGTAAAGCCGGGCAAAATAACCAGAGGCTCCGGCTTTCCTCGGCCCTGGCATCCCCACCGCTCTCCGTGTTCTCCTCAGGAGGGTTATCTCCCCGCAGGAAGCTGATCTTGGTCCTGCCGAGTCGGCCCAGCTTTGTGCACAGATTCTCGTCCTCCCAGGCCCTGGCTGCTCGATCTGCAATCCCGCGCTCGGCCGCCGAGCGCCGCTCGGAGACCAGCCACACGGCCCGGAGTCGCAGAGAAGACGCGCCGGTGGTTGGGTGGGTGCCCAGGCCCGCCCCTCGCAGCCTCTCTCCCGCCCTCCCTTCCTGTCCGC